CTCCATGCCTTCCATGTGGTTATCTCCAATTACATATTCCGCTATCGAACGATCCCACGTACTGCTGACCATTGTGATCAAACACACAAGAATCTTGTTTTCTATCCGCATGTGGACAGGGATCCGCGTGAAGCTCGCTTAAAAGTGGAACAAATACTTGGTGCAGAAGAAGCCAAAAAAAGTGATGCACAAACGTTTCCAAATTATTAATGTTTGGCGACCGATGAGTTCTAATCCCATCATAAACACTCCTTTGGCCATTTGTGAATATCGATCGTTAGACATCAACAATGGTATTCATTTGACAGAGACTCGAGGATCCCAAACCGGCATTTCGAACTATATGGTCTCACGTAATGCTCAAGATGCTCAAATGTGGTATTATCTGAGCCATATGCAATCAAATGAAATATTTCTCTTCAAGATCTCCGATAGCAATTCTGATGGTGCCCAAATTGGGACTCATACTGCTTTTATCAATGAAAATGAACCTCCAAATAATATTGAACAAAAACGCATTGAAATGCGCTGTCTTTTCTTTTATGATGAATAAAAAATAAATTGTTTGTAAGCTGAAAACGCTCAATATTTGCAGATTTGAAGGTGTGAATGCGGGTGTGAAGTTTCATTTCCCATCATTCACATCTACACATTCATAGCTAGAACATTTTTATCATAACTGTCCCGAGGAAAGCACGAAATAAGACTATATAAGGTCATCATAGTCATCTTTTTATGAAATGTACGACCTAATAGCTTGATAATTTTGAATTTTTTTAACGACTTCATTGATCGTCGTTTAGCTGCACATACACTCGCCGTAGATGACATCTGTGCACGTCGTTCATTTATTATCGTTTAGGCACGTTACAAGCATGTGTTATTGGTATATATATCTGAAAAGAGTAGGGTGTGGGTGTTATAGAACTGGAGATATCGGAGCACAGCCATACCCTCTTTAATAGGCTACTTTACGAAACATATCGTATTTTTTTTCTGTGCAGATCGCGCACTGATAACAAAGCACCAGTAATCAGATCAGAGAGAAAGAAGTAAGCAAGTCAATATGAGTAGATGGTAAATAGTAGAAGATGAGCGGCAGTATTATACAGTAAGATACCAAAATTTGTATTACGAGTATTTTAAGAACTTCATCAAGTGAACGTGATGCATATGAAAACTGAATATATATACAGAGAAAGCTTGTTACAAAGTATAAAATTTCACAATTAATAGGTAATCCTCTCTCCTATAGATTCAATCCAAATTAAACATCGTGCTCTCACCGATTTGACTAAATGATTTAGAGTCATCGAGTTAATTTAGTCCCATTTTTTAAGCAGAAATCAGTCCAATTCATCTATATATGATGTTTTCCGCTTCTTGACACAAAATTTGATGGTTGACCAAAGAATTCTTCACTAGGTGAACATCCTGACTGTTGAACAACCAGTCGATAAGACAGATGCAAAAGTCTTTGCAAAAATATCAAGCATTTGTAGGCCGTTTTACTGACTTTCGAACTAACCAATTTTTTTCGTTAGAAAGATCAATGCCTGAGCCACAATTTTTCTAGTACACATTTTTTTTGATAGAACGAACATGAGAAGGAAAAAAAGCGAAAAAGTCAGACACAAGGTAAAAAGTTCTTCCAACGTTTTTGCAACTTGAAAAGTCTGTATTTTTCATTTATTTTGAGCTACATGGACCAAGTTTTCATAAGAAATACAACAAAATGTAGCGCATCAAACATTCTGTCAATATCAAGTTGACTAAAATATCTAATGTTTGTTGAATCTTTAATCAACAAGATTTGAAAAATGAATTTATATTAAGTAGAGGTTTTTGCAAGAACATCAGCCGTAATCTCCGACAATCATGTATGAACTCAATTATTTTTACATTATTTGTTCGAAATGTATCATATTATAGAACCATACCAAAAAAAAATTGATTCAAAACAAACATTTTTAAGTGTTGAAAAACGGATAGATAGTGAACACGAGCAGATTAATCAGCTTCTTTGTAAAATAGCAATAGTTCGGAGTGAAAATCAATAGTAAATTCCACTTTCTCAACATACCATTGGAAAGAGTAATCTCGAGATGTTGTTTGATGGTGAGATAGCAAGAATCTTTATACTCTGTGTTTGAGTTTGGCTATTCGTCTTATTCAGGTTCGTGATGAAAAAGTATGTGTGATACAAAAGTGGTCATTAAGACATTGCTCTTTGCAACTACAAAAATTTGATTTATGTGGAAGTCGATAATGCAATCCATCAGCTTTTACTACTTTTGCGAAGACTTTGCACGGCATGGTAATCGTATATGTGATTAAATAACATTTTTATTTTTTTAAATAACGATTTGATATTGATTGTTTCAGTAATTTTAATAAAACTAATGATTATGCTAAATAGAATTTAGTTTTGAGAATTTTATTAGCATTTGAAGCTCTTTATTTTGATTTTATTTTTATTGTTCAACTTTCACAAAATTCTATTAATGTGTTTAAATAAAATCAAAGATTTATTTTAGAAGAATATCAATAGAATTTGACATTTTTATTGGTAAATAAATAAGACGCTTGTAATTAAACATATCGTCAGGCAACATTGAAAAGAGAAATATTTTATAAAGACACACAAACAAAACTATAGATGATTTGTCTTTTTTTTATGTTTAAAATTATTGCAAAGTTAATGATTTATATCTGAAATTCATTTTTATTCATATAAATAGTTTTGAATTCGATTAGTTTTTTATAGTTGAAAATTACAAATAAAAATTAATTTTTTAGATTAAATTTCAATTATTTATCACTAATTTAGAAGCTTTTGTTTTGTTTGAAAAGATATTGCAATGTGTACGTGTGAATTTAAAATGTTTTTATTATTCTGTATTGGTAAGCAACTGATAGACGCTAAGTTATCTTGGTAACATGTCGCTCTTTAACACAATATTTTAAAGATTATTATCTTTTATGAGAGTTGACAAATATGGAACTGAAACAAATATACAGAACTAGAATACATGAATAAGACAAAAAACTGTGTGTAATGTAGGATACTCAAAGTAACCGATAACGAGTAGATTTTAGATGTTGATGTGGATCAAAGTTTTTCTTTTCATCCACACACACTGTTACCCACACCTACATTCCTTCAACATGGTTATACTGTCCACTGATTTCATCAACATAACGATGCAATTTGTAAAAGATCCAAAACATTCCTTTTTTTGTCTATTCTGTTTTCTAAATGACATCGTTGTAACGAACGAAAAGAAAAAGATAAGCTGAAATAATAAACATTTAAGAGAGTAAATAGAGAACGGAAAGATATCTTGTGCATATTAACCTAAACTGCTTATGTTTTCGTAATCATCATTTGAACTTTCTTTTATCTTGAAAATTATTTGTATAACAATTAGAAATCGTTGTTTCCATACTAAATATTTTGAAAAGTTAAAACAAAAAATTAACAGCAAATTGAATGAATAAATCTCGGTTTTTTTTCAAAACAGAAGTCAATTATAAACATCTGTTCGGATAAACGTTTACTCTTATTTAGACCTGTAAAATAAAATAAAAAAGAAAAGTATTGGCTATATCTTGAACTAGTTGAGTTTCGTTTCAATTTTTCTGATGGAAAACTATGTTTCTGACAAAAACGGTAAATAAGTTTTGACATGAATTTTTTCATTCAAGTCCACGAAAAAAAACATATTAAAATAGCATATTCATGATATTTTTAAATGGAATTTTTAAAAGCACGTATTAGATGACATAAGTTTGCGCCATCTCTGTGGGGTTTTAATTATATAATAGTAGGATCAACATTTCTTCTGAAAACCTCTCTAAAATTTATTTTTTTTCGAAAAACTGAATTTTCTGAGAAGAGGGCTTTTAATTCAGATAATAATCTTATGAGCAATTTAAATGTAACTATGTACAAACATTTATTAGTGATGATTAAAAAACACTCAATTTTCATCATTCACATACCGATTTTCAAACAATAGTTCAATTGCATTTTAAAATCAAAATTATGATTGAATCATGTAGATAAGACAACTTTTTTTTGCAAATACAAGGCATCTATCCATAAATTCTATGAAAGAAATTTTTATCAAACCATGATTGATTAATATATATATAAACTAATCGCTGTATGATAATCAAGTCCATCTCTTGTAATTGAAATGACTTTGCTTAGAAATTTTAACTATTTATTATCGAAAAGTATCTTGATTTTTATAACAAATGTATAAAATTGTACAATATGATAACATTTGATGATATCAATGTTTTAGAAATATCATTATTAATAACATATAAATAAGTAATTTAATAAAGCAATGGCAATACAATCGAAAATTCAAATAGAAAAATATCAATTTGGTATTGATATTCGTAAAATACGTCATATCTATAGAGAAAAAAATAATGATCAAACAAGTTATACAGAAAAGTCAAATGTTTATTCAATGGGTGTTTTAATGTGGGAAGCTTTATCAAATAGAGAAATTCCTTATTCATACATTGTTGATAATAATCTAGTTGTAAAAGTAAAATTAGACTCTTATGGAATCTTGTTGGGAAAATGATCGAGAATGGCGACCAACTTTTGAAGATATAAAAAATTCGTTATCTATCATTAAACCTTCTGAAGTCTTAGATGTTCGAATACCTATTTTATCATATCAGTAAGAAATATGTCCTTATTTTAAATTCAATAAGTTCTTATTAATTAGTATTTATTCAGTTGTTTTTCTATTAATATTCAATCTTTGATAATTACTTAGAATATTTCGAAAATGATGAAATATCTTTCTTGTGAATGAACTAGTCGTTGCTTTTTTCTTTAAGACCACCGACAGGCTACACTTTTAAACTTAATGTTGATGTAACAAGAAATGGTTTTATTAGGTGGTAGATTTCGTAAAATCTATAAAGCTCAATGGATATCAAGAAGAAAGGAATTCATTATTTTGATTGAAATGAGTGAAGCACCCACAAAATACAAAGTATTATTTTACAACAAACTCAACAATCATCAACATATTATCAACACATTCGGATTTGTTGAAAATAATTTTGGAACTATTACGTTATTGCAAGAACGAGCATCTCATGGTCATTTTCAAGAACTATTAAAAAAGAAATTATTTGAACCATCATCCATGGTACTCATTGTCATTTTCTTACAGATTATTGATGCAATGGTTTACAACGTTGGCAAAGGCATGATACATGATGATTTACGTTGTTCGAATGTTCTTGTCTTTCAAATGGATTCATCTAAGCCTGAAGAAAACTTTGTTAAACTAACCAATTTTGCTTTAGCACGACCCAATAAACCGTCTTTATTAGACGATAGACGATCAACTATTCCAGTGGAATATTGTGCACCTGAAATTCTTCGAAGTGCAGGTCGGTTAAATTATTCTGAATTATCCGAGATTTATTCGATGGGAGTATTAATGTGGGAGGCTTGTTCACAAGGCCATACTCCTTATGGTTCTTCAATATCTAACAAAGAAGTTCGGCAGAAAAAGTTAAATGGTGAGTAATTACCTAGACCATGTATGTGTGATAGACAAATTTGGCCTATTATTAAAAGTTGTTGGTACAATGAACCACAATTACGAGATAATTTTAAAGTTATAAAAACACAACTTTCTAGTATTAATCTTGAGTAAGTAAATCAAGTGTAGACAATTGAACTAAGACAATAAATTATTTTTATCTAACAAAAACGTAATGTTTGATTTTTATTTTCAAGATCACATTTTCAATATGAACTAGATGTTGATGTCAAAATAAACAATCAACTACATGATGACCATGGACAAATATTTTATAATGCAGAATGGGTAAAAAAGAATAAACCACTAATTATATTAATTGTAATAAATACAGAAACAGCAGAACGTGAAGCTTCATTTTATATTGAACTTAGTTCTCATGAACATATTTTCCAGACATTTGGTTTAGTAAAAAATGATCCTCGATCGACAATGTTAATACAAGAACGTGCTCCACATGGTAATCTATTAAAATTATTACAAAGTCAACAATTTAAACTATCAGTAACGATACTTGTAACAATTTTCTCACAAATTGTTGATGCTATGATTTATATTATTGAACAAGATATTATACATGGTGATTTACTTTGTTCTAATGTTTTAGTCTTTCAGATGAATCCATTTGAAGTAAAAGGAAATCTAGTTAAACTAACAAATTTTTCTCTAAGTCGTATAAATGATCCATCGTTGAAAAGTAATCTATTTGAATTCGATATGCTGCACCAGAAATTGTTGAAAGCAATGGTCAAACAAATTATTCGGAATTATCTGATGTTTATTCGATGGGTATTTTGATGTGGGAAGCTTGTTCACAGGGAGAAGTTCCGTATGGAACTGATACAAGTGATAATGATATTCGACAACGAAAGTTGAAAGGTGAACAACTATCAATGCCAAATAAATGTGATAGACAAATATGGAATATTATAATAAATTGTTGGTATAATGAACCACAATTACGATACAATTTTACTGACATGAAGAAGCGTTTGTCTAATTTTATTCCTGAGTAAGTGAAATGAATCTGTAAAGATAATATGATGAGAACATTAAACAGGAAGAAATTATAGAGTTATTATTCAAGACTTTGCATCTGAAAGAGAAAAACAAAGTTATGTTGTGTTAAATTTTTCTTTTGAAATTAGTTTCCACTTGTATTTTTTTCGGATTTAAGAATCTTTCGACACCTTTATTTCTTAAAAATTTAAATATAATATTTGCTTTCAAGGTCAATAGAAATTTATGAGTATCAATTGAATATTAATGTCAGAAAGGAGAATCCATTTAATGGTCATTATGGTAAATTTTATGAGGCAGATTGGATACCAAAACGAGAACCACCAATTATTTTAATGATCTTGAATAAAGAAACAGCACAACATGATGCTTCATTCTATTTGACGCTCAATGCTCATCCTCATATTATACATACTTTTGGTTTCGTTGGAAATAATGATCGATTACCTATGTTACTGCAAGAACGTGCTACACATGGTAATCTTCAGATATTGTTACAAAGTAAACGTTTTAAACCATCAACTAACGTTCTCATTACAATTCTTTTACAGATTCGGAATGCTATGATTTACATCAGTAGTAAAGATATTGTACTAAGTAATTTATGTTGTTCAAATGTTTTCGTCTTTCAAATGAATCTAATAAATTCATCAAAAAATCTGGTTAAATTAACTTATTTCAGTACGATATTGTGCTTCTGAAATTCTCAAAAGTACAGATAAGTCAAATTATTCTGAAGCATCCGATGTTTATTCATTTGGTGTTTTAATGTGGGAAACTTGCTCACAAGGAAAAGTACCTTATGAATTTGATACATGTGATAATGATATTCGACAAAGAAGACTAAATGATGAGCAATTATTACGACCAAACTCTTCTCATGATCCAATATGGCCTATAATCGAATCTTGCTTGTATAGGACACCGGCAATGCGAGACACTCTACAACAAATTCAAGTGAGGTTGAGAGAAAAAGTTACAAAAGCGTCATATATCTTTGAAAAGTAGATATTGTAGCTTGGTTCAAAGATTTCCAGATGAGTATCTAGTCTTAGCAACATGATCTTGCAAGTTTTTCAGACTTGAATCGAGTTCAATTCTTTCTTCGATGAGTACTCTTGCCGCATTCAAATCGGTTCAATACATTTTGATTAGTTGACTATATGACTTTGTTGACCTGACACATATCTTCGAAACGTTGGTAGAATCACTTTGTCTACTTACCTTTGTCATGGATTCTAATAGCATTTTATTTATTCTAAGCTAAAGAAGAGATTTTTGCTGATGTGGTGAAAGTAGCTAGCAAACAAGTGATCAATGAACAATACCAAAACCATGTGTTCTTTCAAATAAGAATAAAAACAAGTCTATACAAAGGATGGAACTTGTCTAATCCTTGTTCTCGTTAATAAGAGTATGCCATTTAGAAAAAAACACACTGTTGTCCTTTTTGATTTTTCTTTTAAAAGAAAAATAGTCAACAAGACTCAATAAACAAGAGTTATTTTTTTATAGTAACTTGTTCTTTTAATAGTATCTCTGTACCAGAGACATATTGTAAGGACGAAGACATGGTGATGGAAGATATTGCTTTTCGATATTAGTTATTAGGAATGAAATCATCAATCAGGACAGTTTTTTTTCGTCGATCATTTGTTTGAAACAAATAGGCAACCAATAAAATCGAGTCTTTATTCAAATTATGAATAATTCATTTCAGCTGTATAAAGCGAATAGTTTTTAACATTATTAGTTATACTTAACTCTGTTTGTGAGTACAAAATTTCCAATATTACGTTAAAAATGATCGATGGTGATTGCAGAAAAAATACTAGCTGTTACCGTTTATGTCATTCTTCTGATCTGTGCAATCCTTACAAAAATTTTGACAAAGTTAGCTTTTGTCCTATTCAATTAATAAGAAGACTATTCAAAAATACTTTTTACGCAACAGTTCCATGGAAATAAGCTCAAATGGTACATTTTATCGAACAAGTTTTTTCTACAAGTTGATAAATAAATAGTTGTTGTATGCAGAATGTAAAATAAAACCGGTAGCGCAGTGGTTAATATACAATAGTATGTATTGTTTTTGCCTTAGAATATCAGTTTGCTGCAACTAAAAATGATTATATGGTCTGCTCTTACTCAATGAATACAACATAATTGAAAAAAATTAACAAAAATACGTATGATTCCTGTGCTTTAGCATGCGATTTAGTAAAACCTTTTCTCGTTGTAGACATCGCAAATAATTCTATAGTTGTCTCGCGAAACAACATAACAAAAGACTATATTGCAACAGTTTTAGGTAGATAATTTTATCATAACCACTTTGTCTCAGAGTATGTAGAATGGTAGTATTTTACGATTTAAAAAGTCTATGATCATATACGATTAAATACTTCATATGCTAAAAGATAGTTTTTGGTCGTATTATTTGAGTGAATGTATCAATATTTTCATTATTGTGAAACGTTTTTATTACATGAGACAGAAATAGTATTACACTTTTATAACCTCAATGATTTTTCAGTCATGCTTAGCTGTAGGAAATTTTTTTTGCTCAATATACAATTTGTGTCTTAAGTAAGCTTTTCGCGAACGTAGAAAATAGTATACGTTTGATGAATCTTCGATGATGACTACGAAGAATTGTTTTGAACTAATTCTATTTCTAGATTATATGTTTACAAGAGAAAAAACTTCAATGACAGATAAACACAAGTTTGTAAATTAGGCGCCCATATACTGCAAGATGAAGTACAACATTTGCAGTTATTCGAATTTATTATAAGATTATGATTTGTGAGACATCGTGTGGCAAGGCTGCATTTTTTTGAAACTCGAGTGGATACTTTTATATCTATGTCTGCACATTGAACGTAAATGTATTAAGCTAAATAAACTTTGTAATATGCCGATGTCCAAATTATCATTCTAATGTAGCTAAATCTGTGTAAGTTGACTATCGAGCAAACATTTAAATTTGTTGTTAATTTAATTCTTAGATGAGGAGCTTTATGATACAGATCATCTATACTACGGTTTGGTGAAATCAATCGAATAATTTGAAAATATGCGAGATTATATTCTTATCGAATATTTAATCGAAATACTGAATTTCAAAGTTTTGTATTGTTGAAGAGAAACGTTTTCAAAACAGATATGTCACAATAAGCAAGTATAATCAATTCGAGGGCGACTAATATTTTTTTTTAAATAATGTGTAGAAAAATTAATAGGATTTCATCTTCTAGTAAAGCCACACAGGCTAAGTCTACTCTAAAAAGAAATTGTAAAAATTGATATGTGTAGAGTTGTGTACATCCGTTCGTCATTATTGAAACATTTACTGATAACTTTAGATCTTCATGTAAACTTCGGCTCAAAAATAGATCCGGATGAGGGAATTTGATCTCAAATTTGATCGTCGAAAGGAAACTATGATGAGAAATCATGTCATGACAGCATTCTGTTTCTCTCTGTGTTTAAAAAAAAAGAAGACGTGAAAATTTGTGGCAGTGATACTTGTAGATACATAGACGTTGAAGTATACCATAAAGGCTAATGTTCAAATAACTATTCTGCAATGAAAATATAGTAATTTGATTTTTCAATAGATTTCTATTTGGATCATTCGAACAAGGAAAAACACAAGAAAGCATGAGGAATCAACGATGAACAATTTTCAAAAATGATTTGAAGAATTCAAATGCGTTGTTAAATTGATTTTTGTAGTGACAGTCGAAATGCATTATTATCTAGCTAAAAGACATAAAAGAAAAATGGTTATTAAACGAATGACGTATTTGACGAAAGGAACACGCATGCTTTTTCATTCAAGCATATCTTTAATTTCGTTACATCGTGCAAAGTTACACGTGCATTCAAACGACGACAAGTTTAATAATTTACCTGCGTAATAAAATATGTTTTTTTGTATTCCGGTTAGTCTATCATGAAAATATTCTGTTTTTATTTTTAAAACAATCTCTCTTTTTTTTTAAATAGATATGTTGTGGTGTGGGTCCTGATGGTTGTTGTTTCTGTGGCATTCCGTGCAATTGTTTCGGAGACATTAGTCCTTTCGATAGAGGGTGAACAATTGACTTCTTAATTTCTCTAAAAAAAGTTTTTTAATTCGCATTTTAGACCTGTTCAAAGTCAACCAGAAGCATTCTACTACTGATTCTAACAATGCAAACTGACTTTTGTTCTTTTTTCTACTCACTCACATTTTATCGAACCATGTAACATATGTGATTTCGTTTTCTATGAAACAATCGACATAGATAAAGAAAACACATTAAAAATATGTGTTACGACATATTTTACAATGTAAAACATCTGTTTCCACTATTTTCGATCAATTAACATCAATAATGACATCAATTAAAAGCATGTGTTTCGAAAGACGTGTGATAGAGTGCATTTCTTTGTTTCAAAATTATATTTCTGCTGTAACTCGAAGATTATCATAGCTCATAAACACATATATTATTTCTCAAATAGTTTCAGCCATTATGCACAATCGAGTAGTATCATTTTCGGAGTGTTAAAATGACGCATCGTTTGTTGTCGATTTGAAATAGTTGAGTATGGTCTTGTTAAAAGGATTGACTTTGATGATTAACTCTCGTTATTGTGTAAAAAAGTGCTCATTGTTAACTGAATATGTTTTGGACAATCGAGATGTAACAGATCTTCGGTCTCGATCAAAGTTCAAAAATATGACAAGTCGATTAATGGTATACTTTGACATATATGCTTGATTGAGTCAAGTTGAAATAGACATAGAATTCATTCCCATTAACTGCAAATCATGTCCTATATAAACATGAGTAACTGATAGACTTGATGTTCTCATAAAGACTATCTTCACCTGTCTTATTAATAGAGGTCATAGCATTCGAATTTCACGAGTATCCGGGACATTTCGATCTGATAAAATATTATCTCCATAAGTGAGCACAGATTTCTTTTTTCTTAAAAGATTTTCTACAGATAAAAACAACGTCAGAGATACATTCGAAGAGTTAAAGGTTATTCGTTATGGTATTGAGAAAAATTAGCATGCATTCGAATGTTAAGTTTGCTCTTACGTTACTCTTCTATTTTATTTCAGTGTGCTTCGATACTAAAAAGAATTTATTTTAAGTTCTATTTGGCAAGAGAGTTAAATAGGACATATGACAGTTGAAATGTCATTTCTGCTTTAGAGCATACACTTCAATTTCAACAGTTTTGAAATAGTGTGAACCAGTGAATGTAAGACGTCCTTTGCCAGTTGAATCAATATAATCACTAGGAAACATAATATTACTGCGAGCATTTTGATTACTATCTGAATAAATACAAATATCCCGTAGACCAAAGGTTGGTCCCATTGTTGTTTTGCAACCAATTGCATTTCGACCTTCAGCATTTATTTGATATTTAGTAGGCAAAATTTTATACGGATTAATTAGCGTGAATAGAAAGGCACTCGTATCCACTGACCATTTCCAATTTTCATGACTTTCCCAATTGATTGATGTGTATCCACCAAATAAATGTCCACTTGACGATTGAATCACGGTCAATGTTGCACCTTTTCTATCACAACAGCGATAAAAATCCGTACTAGAAAATCCATCTCGTGTGGCTTTGTAAATGAGCCGCCACATTTGATTTTGTTTTCCGTAAAATTGATTCAATTGAATTTGATGTTCTTGACATAAGAGTGTTCCATCAAGGAAGTATTCCTTTTCGCGATGAATATCATGTTCGAGTGAGCTTTGAAGTCGTGAGTTCAATTTGATGGGTGGAATGGATATTTTGATACGAGGTTTATGTTGACCAAGATCGATTTGAATTTGATTGAGTCTCTCACGTAAGTGTTTGATGTCCTGCTCGAAATAATTATTCTCGAATTTATATTTTCGTAATTCCGTCGAAATTTGATCTAAATCAGCTTTGATGGTAGAAGTTCTCGATGTCATTAGTTCCTTAATACGATTTCGTATACGATCGGCTGTTTGTGTGATAGTTTTCAATGCTTGATCCTCCCACTGATTGACATCATGTAGAATAGCCTTTAGTTGAGACTGTTTGATCTTCGATGAATGATCTATGATCTGATGAGGTAGATTACTTCTATCATGACATAATTGTGCGAATTGAGTATCTAAATAATGACGATGTTCCCGGAAGTGCGTCGAACAGAAACAGTTGCAGCATCCATCACATTGAGCAATGCTCGGTTTTTTGCAACACGAACATTTTACTGACAATATTTCAGCCATGTAAAAAGTAACAATGTGTATGCTATTCACAACACAACAAGACAAGAAGAGAAAATGAAAATTTAACGACAAGAAAGAGAACGTTGTTTGACTTGGTAGAAGTCATACAATATTATAATAAAAGCGAAACCCAGCAGGAGTAATTTTCTTTTAGGTCGTTGAGATGCTTCGATTTTATTCTCAAGCAAGAGGCAACCATTAAGAAAAAATACATGTCGTCTTTCATGCTTTACAGAAAAAAAGAAAAGTAAAAACATAGCAACGTTGATTACGCTTAGAAACTCAATCAACTATGAGCAACATATGTGTATCAATTCTCATCAGTATCGGTACTAGATAAACTTGAATTAAATTCTATTAGAAAATAGTGCCTATAGTGTCGACTACCTATCCTATGGATGAGCAAACTTTCTCTGATAGTTGTGAATGTTATCGTAATATCGAGTTTATGAAAGTACACAAATCCAATATCATCTGAAATGTTTGATGATGATATAATAAGTCATCAATGTGCGAATGTCCCGAAATTCTGATGTCTTGAGAAATGTGCAATGCTAAAATTGATAAAAAAACAATAGTGATCAATCAAAACTAAAATAAACCCAAAAGACGTAAAGATCTCAAAAAGAGTTGCAAGTGTAAGCCTTGATGAAAAAAATACAGCCACACCTTCTTCACTGTTTTTAATCACTTACTGATGTTTTTCTTTATAAGTGTTTGCCTATTTTTTCTTCTTTCTTACTTTCTAGTTATACTATCGACAAATAATTGATTTTGATGTATTCTTCCACTAGTTCATCAGAAATTCAATTCTTTCAGAATGTTTACTTTTTTATTTGTCTCTTTATTCCATGTAATTATATAGATATAGAGTTTTCCAAAAGTGACTATCACTTAACAAATGCATATAACTATATTCTTAATCAAGCGTTACCAAATACTTTTTTTGGTTTTTCGAAAGAGGAGGTAAATAAGTTTTTATTCACCGAGAGAAAATTCATAAATATTGTTCAAAGGTATTACCTTTAACTTCAATACAAAAATTTTGACGTGATTCAATTCCAAAGAAAAAAAACATCACGCAAATTTTCTTTTTTTTTTTGATTATTTCAATATCTTTCTCTACCCTGATTACTCATTGTGTTTGATCAAAAGATTACAATTGTCAATAAGGACGAATACTATTGTATGTGTTTAATTAAATGCTATAGCACTATTCCCTTCAAAAGAATTGTTAAGTGTTTTGAACTGGATCTGTTGATTTTAATTATCATTTGAGTAGAAAAATACAAAAAGAATCATGTTTGCGTGCTGAATTTTCTGTATACGTCATCATTTTGATCTCTTTTTCGACGGATCTAAGTCTTTCAAATTTCCAATCACTTTTCAAGAACTCCACAACATTTTCAGTTCTAAGAGCTCACAAGTTTCATGACTCGTCGAATCAAAGTTAGACAACAGAACATATTCGTCAATATCGTCGAAAGTACTCAAAATTTATAGTATCAATCCTTTTTACCTTTCTTAATTGGACTCTCGAAAAATAGATAGACAAAATTCAGAATCAATTGCGTTAGTTATGGTTTATAACTACTCATATATTAAATTATGATCGAATTGCGACCAAGTTGCCCGTATATCGATGATTGTACTATGATCCGTAATTACGAAAAATTGCTGTACAGTTGTAGGTAACTATGTAATTTCCATTGTAACTGAGAGCAATGACAACGCAACAATCGCAATCATGAGTAACTGCGCCTCAGTAACCACAGTTTTTTGTGTTAATATACTTGCAACACATGCTACACCACATTTACGATACAGATATCAATTAAGTTACCTTGTAATGCAGAATAGTCACTATGCGAAGTTACAACGCAGTCGTTAAATATGAGACAATACGAGTAAGATCGTCGATCGTCTGAGAGACTCAATTTGGTGTTTTATGCCAGCTAGATTCATCGCACACTGTACTATCAATTTCTGCTACATGTAGAAATGAATTTTGCTCAAACGACATCTCTTGAATAGACTCTTGTTTTGCCTAGTAGTCCTTATCAAAATATCTTTCACTATTATGACTATATAAATTTATGGACACTGTTGTGATAAGAAACTAGTTGAAACAAAGGAGATATTCGTAGTGAGTATAACTTTCGTTTGTTTTTGTTCTATTCGATGATCCTGAAATGAAGCAGCCATTTTTCAAATAAGTCAACTTTTTAAGTGTCGTAATTACACTCAAAAGAAGCATCCAAAGGAAATACCAAATAGTACTCAGTAGAGATTAGACTGGAAGATATCGACATCCAAACAACATCTTTTCCTATTATCTAACAGCTGACGTTTCGTGTCCGGAGTAAAGAAAAGTCTAGTGAAAATTATTTAGAAAAAAGAAAGAGTTGTTCTTGTCTCATATGTTCATATTTTAAGGTGCCGGCAAAGCCAATATCAAGTAAAAGTTTTATTTTGTCTTTTTCCACATAGATCGATAGAGTGTGAACTACTAATCACGAAAAATTTAAAGCACTCGGTTTTTTTTTCAAATGTGCAAAATTCTCTACTTTCTTCCATTTGTAAGCTTCTCAAAATATGTTTTTTTCAGATTCAGCATAAAAAACTGAGCGTAAAAAGGTCGTTAAATCGACTTCAACACCAAAAATTTATTGATGCTGGCGCTTCGAATCAGGCCGAGTATGATTCGTATAGGTCGATTTTGTAAGCCTATCTATTTTTTTCTACGTAAACGAACGATAAAGGTAAATATTTTGTCTCATGGGACTCATCATACTACCAGTCACAAAAGTATGATACGGTCTTTTTTCTTTTCTCTTCTTTTCTTTTCTTTGTCGAGAAAAACCATTTTTACTCGTCACATACCCATGTTAAGCAGTATTCAACGGTTTTTGAATCCAAATAGGACTAGTAGTCAAAAACCAAATGAAGATTCTAAATCAGCATAAATAACTGAGTCAGATGAAGGATCTTTCAAATTAATTTCGTAACTTTCATGTTTCCCACTTTTTCAGATATCGTCGAAGGACTGAAATTTTTGTATATGTGTCAAAAAAAGGTGTGGGTGTGGATGTGGGTGTGGATGTGGGTGTCGTTATACATCTTTCCTTTACTCACATCCCACACCCACACCCCACCCTCGCCTTGATCCGAAGCGCCATCATCAATAGATTTTTGTTGTCAAAGTTGATTTAACGACCTTTCTACGCTCAGTTTTTCATGCTGAAACTGAAAAAAATATTTTGAGAAGCTTACAAAAAGAAGAAAGTAGAAAATTTTGCACATTTTGAAAAAGATCGAATTCCTTAAATTTTTCGTGATCAATAGCTCACACTCTATCAATTCATGTGGAGAAAAGACGAAACAAAAATTTTGAAGTGTGAACTGTCTGCATCTTACTTTATCAAACATTTTTCCTTTGTATTTTAGCTTTATAGTATCATGAAAGTTTCATACCTATTGAAAAACTAAAATGAACTGATGTGAGTTTCTATTATGCCATGTTCTTCGAGCTTTACAGAAACACTGAGTGCTATTTTTTATCGCTTTTCTGTGAAACTTATTCGGGGCTAAATAAATTTCAGATAAAAAAAGTGGTTTGTACAGGATCCATTTGTGGGAACCCATAAGTGTAAGATGGAAATAAAAACTTTCGTGACTCCAAAGGCATCTATTTCTACATTGTTTCTACCATTGTGATGTTGTTAATTTGGTCTCAAGAGTCATATAAGTCGTCCTTGAGGGTCGCCAATCAATGACGTTCTGATAAAAGCCACTTTTTTACCCCTCCCCTTCCTCCTTCTGGATGTCCAATGTAAAAAAAATGCAGAAAACATCTGCTGATACAAATATACTCCTTTTTTTTTTTATAAATAAAGCTTAATTAAATAAATGTGTGAAGAATAGGTATGAATATAAAAAAGACAAATCAAACATTTCATAGGTAACAAAGAAAAAAAAATGACCTATCATAAGATTTTTGTTTTTTTTATTCTATAGATGGTATTTTATTCAGCAGTAAATAGTAAAAATATAAAAAGGAAAAACAAAATTGAAATAGAATACCATTGCCACTCGAAAATTTCATATAACTCATCCAGAAAATAACTATCTGCTCATGTAGCATAATCTTCAATTATTTGAACACCATGTTTACATCCGGTCTATTTCCCATTTAACAACACTTCTTGAAAAAAGATAACTTTCATAGTTTTGTGGAAGGTGTGTGAAAAAAAAAGAAAATATTTATAGTTAGTGTTTGGATGCTCAGAAATGCTTGACCATCCTCTTGTTCCTTCACCTGGGGACATCCTTTCTAGATGCGCTATTATTGGATGCTATTTAAGTGTGGTATATCGACTAAT